TAAATCAAGATGATAACATACATTTTCAACATGATAATCAAGAACAAATAAATGATGATATGGAAAATTTATTAAATGATCTAAGAAAATCATTTGGGCTGATTTGTGTGCGATGTTGTGCCCATACTATTCAATTAGGAGTTAATGATTATATAAAAAAATTTCTAAAGGAGGATTTAGAAGATATAAGATCTATTCTAAAAATATGCAAATCACAAAAATATAAAAGTTTATATTCATTAGAAAAAATTAACAAACCAGTGCTGGACACTGTTACTAGGTGGAATAGCACCTATAGAATGCTAAAAAACCTAAAGGATAATAAAATATTTTACTTAAAAATGGGCCATATATATTTAGAAACTTTTATAAATTCAAGACTCTGGGATAGAATTGACGCATATCTCACCGTCTTATCTCCTGTTAATTTATGTACCATTAAACTGCAAGAAAAATCTTGTACAATCGGAGATTTTTTTAAATTATGGCTTGAATGCAAATTAGATTTAGAGGAAATAAATAATGAATCCTCGAATAATTTGATTAATTGTCTGGATTATCGTCAAAAATATCTTTTTGATAATAATGTTTTTAGAAGTGGGATCTACATGGATCCCAGATTTAATTATCAGAATGGAATCTATCCATCCGAAAGTGATAAATTGCTGGCCAGGGTAAATTTATAATATATAACTTTAAATTAAATAAATTTATTTTATTTTAGGAACATCTGATGTCTACGTGGAGACAAATACAAATTTTTAATAAGCCAAAAGATAATCCAGCTCTGAGTGGCTCTCCTTTAATCCCTGTAAGTTGTAAAAAAACCAGATTAGATGTATATTTGGAGCGAGAAAGCGCTAATGCTCCAATATACCAAAATATTGAAATCCTTGATATGAAGACCAAAATTAATGCTTTAATATATGGTCAAAAATTGCCATCTGATCAAAATATTTTGCAATATTGGCAATCCAAAAAATTTCAGGATCCGGAATTATATGCCCTATCGCGAGTAGTTCTAGCCGCTCCTTGCTCTCAAGTATCTGTTGAGAGATCATTCAGTGCTCTGGGATTGGTCCTTACACCGCTACGAACAAGATTAGAGAAATCTATATTAAATGATATTTTATTAATTAAACTTAATAAAAGTGTATTAAATAACGTTATATTTTGATTTTTATTATATTTATATAAAATTTTTATTTGTATATATTATATCATGTATTATTTAATTATATATAATCATTTTACTAATTAAAATACGAATAATTGAAATACAAAATAAAATTGTTACCCAAAATCTTGAAGTACTGAAAAAAATCTAAATTCACAAATACTTGTTTTAAGTGCTGAAATTTTTAAAATTGAGGTCTTTATAGTCCCACCTTTCTTTTGATGAAAGATAAATTTGTTTTATTAAATCATGTTTTTGGGAATTTTATATAAATCTAAGTGCTAAACTGCTAGATTTTCAAAAAGGGCTAAATTTAATAAAGAAAAATACTAAATATATTTGAGGGGAATTAAATATTTTTAACTTACCTAAACCTTGACATTTCGCTGATAAATGTCCAAACTTTTGTGCCATCTATGACCACAATCTTAAGGCTTACATGACGAGGTAACGTTTGAAGTTTTTATTAATAAAAAAAATATTTAAAAAAAAAATATATTTTAATGTTATATTTTATCTGACTCTGAATAACGAATAAAAAAGAAAGATTTTTAGAGAGATTTTTATATAATCTTAAATTTTTTTTTTAATAAATCCCCCATTTCACTAACACATGTTAAGAAATCCCCCATCAATATAACCCAAAATTTTAAAACTAATTTTTTTTCAAATATATCTGAATCTGAAAGAAAAAATAAAATGAAAAAGAAAATTATGATTATGATTTATAATAAAGGGGTATTTAAAATTTTTTAAGGAAAAAAAATAGAAGGCGAGGAAACGTTAGAAGTTTTTCTTTTTATTAATATAAAGAATTATATATTTAAAAAAAAATATATAATGTTATATTTTATCTGACTCTGAATAACTAATAAAAAAGAAAGAATTTTAGAGAGATTTTTATATAATCTTAAAATTTTTTTTAATAAATCCCCCATTTCACTAACATCACATGTTAAGAAATCCCCCATCAATATAACCCAAAATTTTAAAACTAATTTTTTTTCAAATAAAATAGAAGGCGAAGGGTGAAGTTTTTATTTTTATTTTTATTATAAAAAGAATTATATATAAAATTTTTTTTAATAATAATAATGTGGTTTTACGTCTTTATAGAGAAACCATTATAGAGAATGTATTTTATAGAGAAACATTTATAGAGAAGAAAACAATTATAGAGAATGCATTTATAACAAATGGTTTTATAGAGAATGTCGTTTATAGAGAATGATTTTAAAATGAATGTAGAGAATTATTTTGTAGAGAATTATTTTGTAGATCTTGATTTTATAGAGAAATATTATGTATGGGACAATTAGAGAGTAGTATATGTAGATTAATACGTAACAACATTGGGGATATTCTCAATATAACTGATGAAAAACATATTCCAACTAATAAAAAGGGAGTATGTAAAGATTGTCCAAGAGTGAAGGAGGTAAAAACAACATTTATTTGTTTAAATTGTTAAAAATTCATTAGATCATATGCATACATTTTGTCGTGAATGTTAGTACAAAAATTTACATGATATTTGATGATTAGTATTTTATTTAATATTTGATATGTTTTTATAAAATTTATATAATTATCTATATTCGACATTCATTTAATAAAATATATAATAAAATTTGCATTTTTTTAAATACTTTATGGTGATCAAAATATAATTAAAGAAAGGTCTCAGAAAAAAATTTTTATTTTAGTAACTTTAGTAAAATTTGCATAACTGTTTTTAGAAAACTATTAATCTAAGATTTTGTATTTATTATTTCCAATAATATTTGAATATATATTCAAAATTGTATTTGTAGATCTCAAGTTTTAATATGTTCTGAGATATTAATCAAAATTTGGGATAAAATAGACCCCACCTTTGTAGTTAAGGGATTTTTTTCCACCTTTATAGTGAAGGATCAAAAAGTATGGGTTGAATTTTAAAAGGAGAAATATTTATATGCTAGGTTTACAATAAATATTCATATTTAAAACTGCCTTTCGCGACTCGAATTGATAGACTAAAATAAAAAAAATATAAAATATTTTCAGTATAAAAAAAACTAAATCTATCCAATTGAATAAGTTAGGTCAGGTCTATTATTTTGTCAAAACTAAAAAACCAAGAATTTGACAATCCATAAATATATTTGGCTCGTAATATAAATTTGAGTTCTTGCTGTTTAATGTCGTTGTACATTGTAAAAGCACGACTTTACTTAAATAACGCTCAAATTATAGAAGTTAGAAGGCACCACTTTTTAATATTTTACAATCTAAAAGCCATCAAAAATTTAAGAAACATAATGAGCCAATATTTTTTATTAAAAAAAATTAGATCGGTTATTTTTTTAAATTAAATGGGATAGGACCTTATTAACAACAAACCTTGTTAACAATATATTTTTTTAATAATTTTGAAATAATAAATAATTTTCAAAATATCTTTATTCTAACCTTGTTTAATAAAAAGAGTTTAAAAATATTACATATGACAATTATCAGTTTTCAATTTTATATATAAAAAAATCAAAAATAAAGATTATTTATGGTATATCTTCACTGAAATTTTAATTTAACATATTAATAATATCTATTTTTACTCATTTGCTTTAAAAAAATTTAAAAAATTTCAATAATAACGATTATGATAATTGTCACTTTCCTGTAGTACATCTTCACTGAAATTTTAATTTAACATGTTAACAATATCTTCATTTACCCATTTGCTTTAAAAAAATTTAAAAAGGTTCAATAATAACGATTATGACAATTGTCACTTTCCTGTAGTACATCTTCACTGAAATTATAATTTAACATGTTAACAATATCTTCATTTACCCATTTGCTTTAAAAAAATTTTAAAAAGGTTCAAAAATAACGATTATGACAATTGTCATTTTCCTGTGGTACATCTTCACTGAAATTTTAATTTAAAACATATTAACAATATCTATTTTTACCCATTTGCTTTAAAAAAATTTAAAAAAGTTCAATAATAACGATTATGATAATTGTCACTTTCCTGTGGTTCATCTTCACAGAAATTTTAATTTAACATGTTAACAATATAAAATCTATGCTATGCTTTAAAAAAATTTTCAAAAATAACGATTATAACAATTGTCACTTTTCTATGGTACATCTTCATTGAAATTTTATTTTTACATCTTAATATTAAAAATTATAACCTATTTAATTTAGGATATAATAAATCAAATAAGTTAAAAATAACGATTATTACAATTTCCACTTTTTAATACATTACATCTTCATTGAAATTATAATATAAATTTTTTTTTATATAAATTTTTTTTTACCCATATATGTCGAAAAAAGTTTAAAATAACGATTATGAAAATTGTCGGTACATCTTTATTAAATTTTTATTTTAATTTAACATGCTTATGCTTACTAATCCATTTACTTCAAAAAATAATATCAAAAAAATAAAACATTATAAAATATGAAGATCTTTGAAGATCGTTGATCAAAAATATTTTTAAATAAAAGATCTTCAAAGATCTAGATCTTTGAAGATCGCTGTTAAAAAATTTTTAAAAATAAAAGATCTTCAAAAGATCTCGATCTTTGAAGATCGTTGCTCAAAATTTTTTAAAAGTAAAAGATCTTCAAATTTTACGATCTTCAAAGATCTAGATCTTTGAAGATCTTTTTATTTTGAGCAAATGTACAACTCTGGTTAAAAATAACCTTATTTTAATTTTAAAAAATTTGACTGACGAAAAATTTATTTATAATATATAATATCCAAGCATTATTAACATTATAAATATTATGTAAACATGTAGTGCATCATAAGAAAAGATATATTTAAAATGTAAATTTTTATATGTAAATACTATAATACATTTTATAATTACAGATTAGAAAAGGTAGATTTAACAAAAATACGAAAAAGTTTCTTAAAAGACCTATTTTTGGAAGTTTTAACCTACTTTAAAAAAAATACCTGTAAAAAAAACAAAGCCAATTTTACATTTATTCTAAAGTTCCCATATATCAATGTTTTTCTTTTTTTCTCACTCATAATCATTTATCCAGTATGAATTTTGATTGTAAAATTGATGATGCATTCCTTCCATATACATTTATTAAACTCAAGTTATTTTTACCCTTCAAATTCCCTCCCCTAAATCGTATGTTCGGTACCGATCCAAGTTGTAAAAATCGGCTCGGACAATCCTACCTCCAAAAAATCTCCCATTCAAATCGACGACAGCCTTTACAGCCGATTCAACCCTGGCAAACTCCACGAATATTCTGACCCTATCCAATTCGCTTACCGTGTCATTTGAACTTTTAGAGGATGCTCGGAAGAAATTGGCCGGGATTTCGAAGACTGTACAGGATTTAACCTCGCCATATTTACTGCATTCCTCCCTGGTTTCATTTTCTAAGTCTGGGTCTATTTCGCCCGAGCCTACCATGTTGCGGAGTAGGACAACTTTACTTGGAACCTTGAAGGCTTGAATTGTGGCAGTAGTTTCCAAACTATAAGGTAAGGCTTGTGCATTGGTGTGTACCGAAGAAGGGGTGGGCGTGGGATCGATGGGGGGTAAAGCTCCGGCTAGTATGGAATATGAAGGGATAAGGAGATCTTGTGATGTTTCTAAATATAGTGGAAGAGGAAATAAGAACTAATGTAAAATACCTATCCTATAAATTTCAGACAATTTATTCTTTAATTTTTGTTGCAAGTTATTTATAATTTCATATACTAAAATTGCATGGTATTGCCTGATTATGCATACTAAATTTTTTAAAAATTTAAAAATTACGAGTATTAGTCTCTTCTCCATTGAGGGTATTTTGAAAGCTTTCTGATCCAGACTCATTAGTAATCATGTGATCATCGAATGTTAAGGAAGGAGACAAAGAAGGGTCATCTTCACTGTATAATTGACTTAAATTTTCAAGATTCGAACCTTAATATTAAATAAAATGAGGTTCACAAAGATTTATAATACCAAAATCATTGGTCATATATTTTTTTTCTTAAATTAAAAAATTTATATTTTAAATTTAAACAAATAGTAGTTATTGAGGCATACGTCCTTCTCAGCATAGAGCTTATTCAAATCCGAAAAGCAATTGATAATTTGAGTGAAAAAAATAAGTAGGCTTAAAAACAGCAGGGCAAATCATATATGTATAGTTGGGTAATGACTAAATACTCGCTGAGATTATATATTTTTTAAAAAATCCCAGGAACTAAAGTAGGAATTTTAGGTTAAAAATATAGTAATTAACCAACTAAACATATAAGAAGAGAAAATTTTTTATTAAAAGAATAAATAACTTTTATTGAAAAAGGGTAAATCTTTTTCGTGCAGTATTTTACCGCCCCTTTTACTCGTCTTTTCCACTTGTAAAGCTTGACTCATACCCTGTTCACTTTTACCTAGACCCTGGCCTTGTTTAAACCCATATTTGGCCATTATTTTTGCAGCTACCGAATTTCTATTTTAAAAAAAATTTGCGTTAACGATTATTTAAATTGGGGACCCCAAAATTATTAAAAAATTTTAATTAAATAAGTTTCGAGTAAACTAGATTTAATTATGATTGCAATTAAATACAGTATTGGCCTATCTTAAAAGGTAATCATTAAATAATAAAAAATATGAATTTGTTTTATATAGTCGCCCTTTAATAAATCAAACGATTAAAAATATACTTTAATGTAGGGGCAAAACCAGCTTTTTTTTTGCCATCTTTTCTTTGGTCTTGTACACCTTCACCGAACTCTGCATCACCCCCTTCGACTATAGTTTCTGCATCATTTAAAATGCATTGAGGTGGGGCTATAGCTATTCCTCCTCCAACTTTGCCACCTATGTTATATATATTTTCGGATGGATATTCATCATCATACAGCTTCCCAGCAAGGTTCAATAGGGAATTTTCAGGTCTTGGAAGGTTTCTTTCCAGTTTTTCTCGCCTTCTCCTTTGTATTCAAAATATAAAAATATTAATTTAAATTATATAAACAAAATATTTATTTTACTGTTGTAAACATTTACTTAAATAGGGTTACTCGTTATTTTTCCAAAAGTAAACGTGTTTTAACTATTTTAATAATTTTGATTTCTAATAAAATTTGAAAATAATGAGTTGTAAATGTCATAAATCTGTAATGAGGCAGGTTTTTTTTTATATATTAATTTTATATAATAGGCGGGTGAGTTTGAAATATTTCAGGAGCGGGATGAGCGGGCTGATATTTATTAAATAATATTTTATAACAAATTATTAGATATTTTTATTAATATAAAAAAAAAGTATAATAAAAAATAATTTAAAAAATAGACCAATCAAATAATTTGTAAATATTATAATAAGAAAGAGAAGTACCAGGTCCCCTGTATCTGGCCGGTTCTACTAAAATATCCAGGTATTTTTTAAAAATATTAATGCATATATTTTTAATGATGATTTACAAATAATGAATAAGTTCTTTTTCCCCATATATCTTTATGGTATTTTGCAAGTAAATTTCTCTTATATTTAAAAAAATATATCTATGATGGATATTTCTTAAGATTCAATATACATTTAGGTAATTAAATGTATCCAGTACAATTCTAATAAGAAATCAGTGAACTTGTTAACGATACTTTTAAAATGTATCATAACTGTGATCGATACAAATTATAAATAGGTCAGGCGATAATAAAAATACATTATCCCCAAATGTAATTGAGATACTACATAAAATTATAGATACTTTATTCAGCAATAATATGTCAATAATATTTACAAATTAACAAAAAAACATTTTCAAGGTTTGTATCGAGGAGACTCTCTTTATATCGGTAAAAAGACTTTTAGCGATACTGAAAGTGCTCAACTGGTGCGCTGTAAGGAAATGTAGTGTTGTATTTAATAAATAATCGTTTAATAATAGAAAAATTATTAAAAGTTGTAAAATAATTACTCCTTACCCTAAAAAATATCAGAAATTTGTTTAAAATATTTTTAATTAATATTTATTCAAAATGTAAAATGGATTAATTAATTTAATCAAATAATTAATAATTTAAGAGAATATAAGCTTATCTTTCACATTGTTAATATTCCAAAGCCGCTTCACGTGGCATACAAACTATGACTGTGCTCATACTAAATATCGAATCGGCCTGATAATTAGCGTTTTAAAATATGTAGAGCCACATTCAGGTAGTGTTGTTAAAGGGCTCGATTTAGCCAACTTTTGAAAATGGTTTTGGCCATACTCAAGCTTATTTATTTTGCCCATATATGGCAGATAAGTTCGAACTTCTATTGGCAAAATTTGGAGGCTTAGATATCTTGATTTCGTCATAATATAATTACACTTACCCATTGCAAATAGAGGAGTAGTCATAATTTATGACTATAATATTGAGTTAGCCGTTTTAAATCGACTCAAATAGAGCCTTTTAACAACACTACCAAAAAAATACTAGTCTTATGGATCCACTTTACAATAATCTTCTTTTCACTTCAATCAATACTTAATAGACAAAAACTCCCTCTAGAATGCATTAACAGCAACTCTTAAGATTATTAAATTTGGAGAATTTTTTTAAAAGTATATTTAATCATTCGTGAAAGTTATGGTTTTTTTAAAATAGAAAATATTCATATTTTTATTACATTGTTTCAAAGCTAGATGGTAAATAAAAATCAATAAATATCATATCGGTTTTTTTTGTAATATCTGATCGGTAAAAAATTTGTCAATCAGCACAATCATATTACAAACATAGATAAATTAATCACAAAAGCTATTAATCGGGCTAGCATTTCAAATACCCAAAAGTCCAATTAATTATGCTCAAGCAACAAAAGACCCAATGGTATCAGCATATTACCGTCATCTTCCGGTCTTCCAGTAGCTTGAGATTACACACAATTTCGGCAAGATTCAACAGAAATGCCTCAGCAATTAATTCGGCAAAAATCTTGAAAATAAATAAATATTCAGACATCGCTAACGTAATTTGTATCCTACATAACACGGGTAATGAATTCATTAAATTTATCACATTAGTGGGGAGAAAAGCTAAATAAATTAGTGTTGTTAACGAACGCATTCATGAACAAAATTCGTTTTTTTTGGGAAAAATGATGAAAGGCGTTCATTTAAAATACAAAATAAGGTAATATTATGTTTCACCAATAATGCAAGATATTTTTTAAAGGTCTTTAGTTATAAATAAATAGTTTATATTTTAATTTTTTAAAAAATTATAGATTATTTGAGAAAATATCTGAAGATGAGGAAGATTAATTTGTACAAATTATCATTAAATGATGTCTCACTCTTGTGCTTGCCACAATCTTAATTTAGTGGCAAGTGTTAATGAAAAAGCGTTAGAAAATTTATAAAAACACATTAAAAGGGTATTTGATAAGTGCAAAAATTTATGGAATAAATCAATCTACAACATTTGTTGCTGATTTGAAGAATATCTCAAGGTTACTTATAAGGCCTGATTACAAGTTGGAATTCTTATCATAATTCTATGTTGATAGACTCATTAGTAAAAGAAAATTCTAATTTGCTTGACAAAGTGTGTAATATGGGGGGATTAGCCAGGCTTTCAAGCATTGTTAAATTTTTTTGGAAGAATGCTGTACCGTAAGTCCTAATAAAATTTTTTAGAATAAATATTATAATAAATTTTTTAAATATTAAAATAGATCATGGAACCTTTTGCACTGCGCTCACTATTTTAGAAAGTGAAGAAAAAATGCATTTAGGCTATTTGGACCAAACAATAAGGATAGTTATTTTAAAACTAAAAAAAATTAATGGTCTAAAATATGGTCAACCTATCACTATAATTGATCACATATATTTTATTTTTTTAAAGATTTGAACATATATATATCAATATGTTCTTTCTGCAATTATACATCCAGTATTCAAGCTTTAATGGCCATGAATAAAACTTCCACAAATCGAACCTATAAAATACAAACTTATAGCGCTATTAAAAAAATGCATTGAAAACCCTAGAAATAATAATGCAAGAACGTTAATTCGAGATATCCTTTTTTTTGCTAGTAAGTAAAGGATGGATTTGAGGAGGATAACTTATCTCAATTTTTTGAAGCAAAGGATAAAACATTAAATGCTTTAATATTCCCAGCATTAAAAGAATTGTTTATTAAGTATAGCAATCCCCTCTTCTGCCCACATAGAGCGCGTTTTTAATATAGCTATTGCTGTATTTATCAGATGAAAATTTTAAAAAACAATTATTATTAAAAATTAATAAAATCTTTTTTATAAATAAGAATAAAACTATTATTTTTTAACATGGTTAATATATTGTGTTAAAAAATATATGACATTTATTTATATTAATTAAATTTTAAAAAAAATTTATAAAATTTTGAACGAACGTGAGGGTGTAAATTTTTTTTGAAAGTGAAGGTGTACGATTTTGCCAATGAACGTTGAACGCGTTCAATTTTTTTAGAAATGTTACAGCTATACAAATAAATGATAATGATAATATCCGCTTCTATTTAAAGCAAGCTATTACAATGGCTTCCTTGAATAATTGCATTGCCATTCATAATTCCATATATAGCAATGCAAGTAATCCTTTGTTTAAAATAATTAAAAAATATATAATATAAAATATTTTGAATTAAAATTTAATAACCAATTTATTGATTTTTTAAAATAAAAAAATAGAGAATTAACTATCATTGAAGATAAATAAAATATTGATTAATGATGCTGATACCTAAAATGTATCAGACCAAGATAACGATACATTGAAATTTCAAAAAGAATAAACAAAAAATATATCACAGGAACAGTACCATAGTGCTTAAACATCTCTGGAAATTATTAAGTATTTATATATAAAGTAAGAATCATTATTAAATCAGCATGAAAAGCAGGAATTAGCAAAAATTACTTGTCTCTACTACTTTTTTTATGCTATCAATAAATTATGCTTTGATTGCATAAATTTTATAACATGGTTCATTTTAGATTATTTTACAAAAAAATAAATTAATTTTTGATAAATTTTTTTTATCTTTCAATTATAGGGTCAAATTGGGTTGGGAATATGGAAATAATGTTAAGTTTGGGGCAGGTTAGGAATATTAATTTCATATTTTTTGAGTTGAGACAGTTGTTACAAATAGGATTAAAAAATTTGTTTTGCAAGCCTCTAAATTCAGAGTCTTTAATCATCAGTTATCAGCTGCTGAATTAATAATGTGCATTCAGAAAAACTGGAAGGAGGGTAGTAACAAATAATTGGATTATTTATATTATAAATATTTTAAAAATATACCTGTCTCTTTCTTCTAGTTCCTTTTTCCAATCATCAGCCCTCTCCCTTTCTTTCGCCTCCTCCCTGAGCATCATGATCTTGTCATAATCATTTGGATACTTTGGGTCATATTCATTTGCAACTATAGGTAAGATCTCTTCAGAAGTATTATCAATTTCATTGTTTGTAATATTTGTCTCAGATTTATCATTTGATTGAATCTTGATTTTGTAATTGTAAATTAAATACAAATTGCATAAATGTTCAAAAAATAAACAATTTATTTCATAAAAAAAAATAAGGGCTGTGCAGATATTAAATATCAGCTAGGAACAATATTTCAGAAAAATCAATCTGATCCAAAATTTTCATTGTTTTTGGTTATTTTATTACTGTATATAAAATAATATGATTGTTTATACATAATTAATTTCATAATAATAATAAATTAATAAATGGAAACTAAGATATCTAGAGCTGTGCCAATCCAAAATTTTTTTACAAATCCAATTCCAATATTTATATTGATTTTTATTTACCATCTATCTTTGTATCAATGTTATAAATATATAAATATTTTCTACTTTAAAAAAACCAAAAACTTTCATTATTGATTAAGTTTCTTTTGTTTTTATAAGTTAGTCTTCTCATTTAAAATATTTGTAATGCTTCTGGAAATATAGTGTTGTTAAACAGCTCCATTTCATTGATTTTTAAAAAGGTCCAAAATAAAATTTTAACTAAAATATTATTACCTATGCCTCAAAATTTCACCAATATAAGTCCAAACCTTTCAGATATTTGTGGGAAAAATCAATAAGCATGGGTAATTTACTCATGGTCAAAATTTTGAGTTAATCATTTTTAAATTTGGCTAAATTGAACTGTTTTTTGAAAACAGTAAATATCGGTGCAGATACTATATTAAATATCAGAATAGCCCTAGATATCTAGCAGTTCATATTTAGTTAGTATTGTTAAATAGCTCATTTAGCCGATTTAAAAAAAGGTTAAATTAAGATATTAGCCAAAAAATACCTAAGCCATTTAAAGATGGTATGAAGTTTTGTACATCTATTTACAAAATTTCAATGCAGATAATATTTTGGCTAAAAATCTTGATTTAGTTGTTTTTAAAAATTGGCTAAGTTTAACAATACTACATTTAATTATAAACATTGTACATATTTTAAATGTAATTATTAAATTTTTGAGATTAAAAAAGGTTAGAAAATTATAAAATATGAAAACTCTTTTTCATCTATGAAGATGGAAAATTATTTAAAATATTTATATTATTGGATTCAATTATAATATAAATAAGCAAAACATATTTTAAAATATATATTATATAGCAAATAAAATATAAAAAAATATAACTTGGGAAATATTTCCTTCAGGATCTTTTGTTATTGGCAATCCATACCCTTTAGATAACTTTGACTATTATAGATTATAGGTATTAGTATAGCATCAAATAAGAGATATTGAATATAACATTGATGATAACATTTTCAATTGAATCATACATACTTTTTGATTGGATTGAGATTTTTTCAATTGCAATTGTGATTGTAAAAGTTTAATTTGAGACGACCAGCTTTCTTTTTCTTTAATGAAATAAAAATATTTGAAAATTAAGTTAAGTATAATACTAGATTCATGTTTATTCGTCAGCTCAAAATCGATTCCTTCGTACAATGACATTATTTCTACGCTGTAACTAAACTGAGAATTGATAGGTAAACTGAGAATGGACAGGTAAAATTTATTTTTATTTTATAGCCTATCAATTTTATTTTAAAAATATAAATAAAATGTTTTTATTATGTAGCAAATTTATCCAAAATTAATTTTTTATAAATAAATAAAATAGAATATAGAAGAAATTGTAGTACATAAATTTAAAATATGTATAGATCAGATATGTTACATAGAAAATATAAGACCCATAATAAATTTTAAAAATTATATATATATATATTTCCGTTTACCTTTATTTTTTTTTTATGATGTCAATTCTCAGTTTAGTCAACTTTTTTTAGATTCTTTGGATTTTAAAAATATTTTATTTTTTTTACACATTTTGTTTAAACTTACTCATATAAACATAAAATGAAAAATAATTTTAAGTTTTCGTCATGATTTTTTTTATGTCAATTCTCAGTTTAGTAAATTTTTTTAAAATTTTTGGGATTTTAAAAATATTTTATTTTTTTGACTCATTTTGTGTAAACTTACTCATATAAACATAAAATGAAAAAAATTTTAAGTTTCCGACATTATTTTTTGAGTTATGATGTCAATTCTTAGTTTAATCAATTTTTTTTAGATTTTTTAGATTTAAAAAAATTTTTTTTTTTGACTCATAAATAAATTTAATAATTTATAGTCGTTATTGAATCGGAAAACTAGTTTACTTTATTGGTCTTAAAATAGACCATCGGGTATTTTTAAGAAAATCTATCTTGGGTAAATTAGGATATTAAGGGTCGTACAATTCATTTTTTCTTCTGAACTACAAATGTTTTTGTATGAATATGGTTTCGGTCATATGTAATTATTAATTTAGTTTAGATTAAACGACTTACATAATATTGTTGCACACCTGTGGCAGATTTTTAAATAATTTTAGTTGTATAAATTAAATATAAAAGCGGAAATGGTACAACAAACAAATTTCAAAGTTTTAAAAAGATAATAATTTTTTATAAAATTAGTAAATATGCAATGTATACATTACATAAAACGGTATTCGAAATATTATTGCACTTAAATAATATTTATTCACCATTGTAAAAATGTTGTTTAGAGATAGAGGAAAAAGTTATGAACACCGTTTCCATCTAGAGTATTTCCACTTTCTAGAACTCTCCATCTAGATTATTTCCACTTTCTAAAACGCCTTTTCCATCTAGAGTATTTCTTTTCTCTAGAACATCTTCTCCGTCTAGTGTATTTTCACCTACTAATTTTGTATATGGAGAGTAAAAAAATCCAATTGAAGTTCAATCTTAAAATTTTGCCGATTAGTTATATATACCACTTTCTCCGTCCAATCAGCCTTCGACATCTATAGCACTTTATCCGTCTAAAATAGCTTTAGACATTAAAGCTACCCCTATTTAAGAAAGTTCTATAACAGGGAAAGGTTTTAATAATTTTGATAAATATTTAGAAACTGACGATTTAATGTCTTTATTTTTACACCCTATAAAAGTATTGAATTTAATACCCAATGGGGTAAAAAATAATAAGGTTTTTGTAATAAATAATAAATTTAATATATTAAAAAATGTTGGCGAAACAGTCTTAGAGGATGATTGCCGAGTCTGGACTGGAAAGACAAGAGGATCGAGTCCTTCAATATATAGTTAAAAAAAATTCAATTTTTTTGGCCCGTATATTCATAAAATAATTTTTTTTTTAAACAAAAACAAATTAAAAATCATATTATTTTGAGCCTCAGCCAAATATTGACAATATGGTAATTCTTCATCGTTACTATAATGAGTTAAGAAATTGCGAAAAATATAAGGAAGGATTTCGTTGGTTATAATTCAAAATAATGATGGAAACTTAAAATTTTTTCATTTTTTTGTTTATATAAGTAAGTTTACACAAAATGAGTCAAAAAAATTAAATATTTTTAAAATCCAAAAAATCTAAAAAAAATTGACTAAACTGAGAATTGACATCATAACTTAAAAAATAATGATGAAATTTAAATTTTTTTTCATTTTATGTTTATATGAGTAAGTTTACACAAAATGAGTCAAAAAAATAAAATATTTTTAAAATCCCAAAAATCGAAAAATAATTGACTAAATTGAGAATTGACATCATAAAAAAAATAGTGACGGAAACTTATATATTTTTTCATTTTATGATTATATCAGTTTGTACCAAATAAATCAATCCAAAGTAAAAAATTGTGCTCCTATAATTCATATTTTTTATAATTAAAAACTAAATTTTAGTCTATTACGCCATCTAACGGAAATATATTTATGATCTTTAAAATTTATTATAAAGTTATATATTTTCTATGTAATATTTCTTATACATGTTTTATATTTATGGACTACAATTTCTGATATATTCTATTTTATATATTTAGATAATTTTAATTTTGGATAAATTTGATTTACATAATAAAGATATTTATATTTTTAAAATATAATTGATAGGCCATAAATAAATTTTACTTCTATTCTCAGTTTATTTATCCATTCACAGTTTACTTGTTAATTCTCAGTTTAGTTTATCAAAATATTGTAAACATTGCTTTATGTTAGCAAGATATAATGATATAAGTAAAATTATAATCATTTTAATATATTTTGGCAATGCCTCGTATACTATGATTTTCCAAGTTTTAAACATTTTTAATTTAATATATTAAATATTCTGTGTTAATTATATAATTTTCAGAGACCAAATAAAAAAAAGATTATAAGATAACAGAATTTCTAAATATCGCTCAATATTTTAATTGTAAATTTTTATTTTTTGATAATAGGAATTAATCAAAATATAGTCAGTTAATTCACTTTACAATTGTTATTTTTTAAGACAAAGAAAATTAAATCTAAAATTACTAAAAATAAAAAGTAAAAATACAAGTTCTAAAGATTTTACTTTCCAACCGACCTCTACAAAATAGAATTTTTACCATAACTTACTACAAAAAGTGCATTTTTTATCATTTTCATAGGAAATTTTACAATATGCTCAGTGGCAAGTCCGCCACTGCTCTAAATTAAAATAAATATTAACTTTTTTAGTTATCTACAAAATGGAAAGAGAAGTTCTAAGCTTTCAATATTCAACTAATACAAGTTTAATTATTAATTTTTTAATTATACTTGTGATTAATATTGATATTTGATAATTTCTTAATAAGTAATATTTTATAAATCATAAAATTACTAATTTTGTTTGTATAAAACATAGGAAAAGAACTTCTGATTTATTTAGTTTAAATTAAAAGTCAACTAATAGACAATAATGTTTAATTAGATTGACTTCACATGCTAGCGGAAAAGATTTGAGATTTCAAAATCTAAAGTATGATAAATTCAATGAGTAATATTGGGGTAAATTACCGAAATTAAATTGATATTTTTAATATTAAATTTTATCTCATTGATAAATTATATTAAAATATCATATAATGTATAAATAATATTCTCTTTATCTTGTTAAAACATTTTGATATATAGGATCTACAAAAATCAGAAAACTTTATTATAAAACCATCTGAAGCTATATCTAAACTTGATACTTCTGATTGGCCCTTATTATTAAAAGTAGATTTTATTTTACTTTTCTTACATTGTTTTGTATAAGAATTTTGATAAATTAAATATTCGCACAAATCATTACACTCCATTACCTTTTGGGTGTTCACCCCTCAAACGTGATATAGTATCCCATGTTAGGTAATGTTTATACATTTTTATAATTAAATTTATGATAATAAATAGATCTGGTATTATAAATTTGGACAAACCTGCTAATCCTTCATCACATGAGGTAGTTGCATGGTTAAAAAGAATATTGAGAGTTCAAAAAACTGGTCATAGTGGCACATTAGATCCTAAAGTCACTGGATGTCTTATAGTTTGTATTGACAGAGCTACCAGACTTGTTAAGTCCCAGCAAGGAGCTGGAAAAGAATATGTTGGTATTGTTAAATTGCACAACAAGGTTGATGGAGGAATTAAAAAAATTAAACAAGTAGATAAAACATAATCATCAGTACCTATATTTGTTTTATTTAATAATATTTAATAGCACTAGAAATTCTTATATGTGATATAAATTTTTATGCACATCACATGAGAATAATGATTTGATAAACCTATTACTTTTAATAATCTTTTATTTCATAAAGTATTCAATTTTATGTCATAAGATTTATTTTATAAATTACAAGTGAACCACTTTTTTAAATTAAAAATAAAATTTTTTATTAAGGCTCTTGAAACCCTGACTGGTGCATTATTTCAAAGACCTCCATTGATATCTGCTGTCAAAAGACAACTTAGAATTAGAACTATCTATGAAAGCAAGCTAATTGAATATGATGAAAGCACAAATCAAAGTAATGTTGATAAAATATACTTTAGAAATGATTAGTTTGAGTTACTACTTTCATTATTTTTAAAATTAGTTTAATTTTCAAGAGTAATTTATATAACCCATCATTTTTAACCCTTCATTGAATAGGTGGGACTAGGCAGACCCCAGTCATTTTAAAAACATTACTTAAAATTCTTTCTGTAGTTTTGCCTGAATCTTTTAGTAGCTTAACACATATAGATATAGTATGTGTGCAAAATTGATTTTGATTTCTTTTCAGTAGTTCAAGAATTATATAGGTTTTTGGGAGCATGGGGTCACATAGACTCATCCATGTGACTTTTTTCCATCCATTGTAGCATTATATTAAGCATAAATAAACACTTTTTTTTATATATCATTTTTATTAAAAGTTATATTATGTTAATATTTGAGCCTTAGATAAATATTCTACATCATGTATTTTAATATATATTTTTTTATATTTAAAATAATTTCTTACACTTTTGACTCCCTTGACAAAAGCTGTCATAGATAAAAAAAACATTAAATTATTAAAACAACAGTTAAAATCATTAACCTATACCTTATTTTATATAATTTTAAAATATGAAAGCTACAAATTAATTTAATTATATATATATTGTTTCTAAATTGGAGTCTGAGGGTACCCACCTATTTTCTCTTGTGATTTTTTTTCATAGTGCAATGAACGGTTAATATTTTTACTATAAGATTAAAACATAACTGCACTAAAATAATATAACACCAATATAATATTTATTTCATTGAAAAATATTCCACTAATTTTTTACCATTCCTATACAATATTTCCAATAATTATACAATACCAATCTGATAATCAATCCAATATTTAGATTAATTTTTATATAACATCTAGAAAAATATACAAGTATTTAAAAATATTGATTTAAAATTGTCCTGTTAAGTTTTTATTAAAAAGTTATGTTATATAAGGATCAACCATAACTAAGCATCAAATAAGTGCTAGGTACCCAAAGAGAAGAGAAGAATGAAAGAATAGGTAAACTGCATTAATATTCTGTTAATTATATCGAGATTTATCTTCTTATAATATAAACAAAGTCAAAAAAATAAAATTTATGTTATTAAATAATAAAGTCATATAAATTAATTATTATGTTACATTTAATCTAATATTAGTGCCATTTATTGTTTTTTGTATTATATATGAAATAATTTTAAAACGATAGACGTTCTGATATTACTCACCAAAAAAGTAAAGGTATATTATAATCAAACAACGAATTTTTTTGTCAAACCATTTTTTGAAATTATATTAACTCTACCCCCATATCTGACGACTCTTTTAGACTTTGATATAATTTTGTTAAAAAAATATACTAAAAATCGAAATTTTTTTTAAAAAAATAAAATATTACACCTTGCAAAATAAATATTATAGATTTCTTATTCTACTTTGAATATTATTTCATTAAAATTTTAAACATTTAGGGTTAAATTAAACGAGATATAATTATTAATTTATATTACTTTATTATTATTTTAATCTAATCTTAATGACCTGTAAGTTATAAAAAATAAATCTGATTTTAACAGGGTTGTGCATTTGACCGGTCAAATACAATTCGGTCAATTGACCGATATTTGACCGGAAATAAATGTTTTTACACCAATATTAACTTTATTTTGCATTTATATAATATTATAATAAATCTATGTATAATAATAAATATAATATTTTTTAATTCATTCTATAGTCAATTTTTCACCCTCCTTGGCAGTGTCTTGTTCCGATTCATATTCAATATCATTATTTTCTTTAATATTTTTAATCAATCTTAAATTATGATACACTCTTACTAATTTTCCTGCTGTAGAAGCCTTTAATCTATTTTTGTTTTTCGTGTGAATATTGCCCCAAACCGACCAATTTCTTTCAGAAGAAGAAGTCGAAATAGGAAATGTTAGTAAAATATTAGCGACTTCTCTTAATGGGCAAGGTGGGCAAAATGCATTCCACCAACTTGAGGCCGAAATTTGATTGTTTCTTATGGAAGTTACAACTTTCAACATATTATGGCTATTAAATATACCGCTTTTGCTTCTGAAATTTACTATATTACTCAAAATATTTTAATTATCACCACCTTGTAAAATACCCAATTCTTGTATTATATTACATGCTTCATCAAATTCAGTATTAGTAAGATGCTCCCCTTGATATTGGGGGTCCAATAAATAAGCAGCATTGTGAGCACATGTATTTAGATCAGTTTTTCTCTTTTCAAACAACCTTAATTTTTTTTTCTTGAGATGGAGAAAATATAGAATCATGGCATGATTGTATTATGTGTTTTTCCAAATTAAGCATCTCGTTTTTTACTTGGGCCAAAGTACATTTATCCCCTTGCAATTCAACAATGAGGTAGCTAAAGGTTGGAGTATAGCTAAAAATTTTAAATTTTTCGTCCAAAATTCTTCGTTTAATATATTATTGGTAATTTCTATGGGACAAATATCACAAGCTTCTTCAACAACTGATGCTTTTAGAGCTTTCTTGCATATTTGAATTTGCTCCATACATTTTATTGACGATGCCCATCTTGTTTGGCTAATTGTACTTAATGTAGATGGTATGCCATGAAGATTCTTATTACGGGAAAATACTGCAGCTGGTATGTGTTTATTCTTGAAAAATTTAACAATTTTTTAATTATTGAAATATGGTCACTGAAGGCGTTCAATCGTTCAAAATCGTGAAAGAATAACTAATGTATGCGCTGCACAACCATAACATTGTATATGATTATAAATAGATTCAGATTTTAGAATTCTCCAGGCTGCTTTCATGTTAGCGGCATTATCAGTAACTAAAGAATATACTTTTACCGGATTCAATTCATGAATTACATTTTTAAATTCCTGGGCAATATAATCTGCCGTATGGCGATTTTCCTCAGTATTTAGAAATTTGTAGAACACTGGAACAGGCGTCATCACCATAAAATTAATAATACTCTCGTTTCTAATGTTGCTCCAGCCATCTGATACAATTGATAAGTAAGGAGCTTTATCTATTATATCTGCAACTCTCACCTCCATATCACCTGACGCTTTGTCTAGAAGATATCCAGCCAGCTGCCTTCTCCTGGGTAATGTGTAAATAGGACGTATTTTTTTAAAAAATTCTTGGATGTAGGGATTTTCAGTGATGTGGAAAGGTAAATTTCTCGCATATACAGCCTTTGCAAACAATTGATCCAGCTGATTTTTTTCTTTGGGATTAATTCTATCTATGAAACCGGTTATACAAGATTGAGATTTTATATTTAATCGCCTTGCTTGTAGATTGATTAGAAATAATGGAATCAAATTCTCCTGAGTCACAAGACAAAATATTGTTCATTTGATAATCATTCTCACTAATTTCACCCAATTCTTCATTAGAGTTAGACTTAGAAGTACAAATTACATTTGTGATATTTTTTGTAGAGGTTGATATTTTGGAATTTGAATAAAATTTTTCCTTAATTATAACAGGGCACATAGTACAGCTGCTTAATAAATGTTTGACCATTCTATCAACGTGGGTGATATAGGACATCTTGCAAAACTTGCACACAGCTTTAACTGATTTACCATCGTGTACTTCTTGAAAATGTTTCCAAACATGATGCTTTGGTTTGACCATAATCCCTATATTAAAATTTAACAAAAAATGATTTTGATTATTGTAAAGTTAATCAATCTTAACTATTTTATAATTATCGACCAATTATTCCAATAATTTCTTAATATTATAAATATAATATAATATATATAACTTTTTACCAGAATTGAATAATATTCCGTAAATCTGACCAGAAAATGAAAATTAATTTTAAAAACCAAATATAGCAAGTGTAAGTAAAACAAATGAGAATTAATATAATTTATACTCGGCTAAATATTAAATAAAATTTAAATTTATTAAAAAATAAGAATGAAAAAATTATATTATGATTATAATAAATCGGGTATTTTTATTTTTTAAGAAAAATGAATTGAAAAAAATAAAGAAGGCGAGAAACGGCAATGATTAGGCAAAAAAATAACTAAAAATATTACTATATTTAGAAAAATTACATATTTATATTTTAACAATAAAAAAATTCTTTTGTTTTTAACAATTCATGATACAAATAATTTTTTAAATAATTGTAACCTAATAAGATTGATAAACATGCTTTTAATGCATACTAGTTAATTATATCAAAATATTTATTCGCCATTAATATTTTAGAGTATTTGACCGTATTTGACCGGTCAAATACTCCTCCGGTCAATTGACCGACATGCCAACCCTGGATTTTAATAATATAGTATATAAATAATTTTTACCTGTCGTATTTACGGTTTACCTTGGTTATTATTATTTGATCAAACCTTTTAAATATTAAATTTAAAAAATTGAATACTTCAACTTGAATATTAATATACTATGAACACACGAGTCAAGTTTTAGAGAAATTATTGTCGCGCTAATATTAGACACTTCGAATTTTGAAAATTGATTTAGAAACAAGATGTTTAGTAATAATAGAACATACTTCAGATATCTTTGGATGGAGTGATGAAAATATGCTGAGAGTTGTAAAGGATATACAATATATGATAAAAAATTTAAAATTAATTTATATTTGTCTACTCGTTGTCATAGTATTTGGATGATGCTCAAAGGTGTGAGTGGAACTAACAGACGACTAATTAAGATTTAGTTAATAGAATGGAGAGACATGAGCTCTAATTCTTTAATTCTGTTGAAATTTAGTGGAAAATCTCCTTAAATTCTTAAAATAGAATCATTCAGAAATACTGCTGATATCTTTATCCTTTCAAAAAGAATGTACGCTAAATTTGGTTCTCTTGTTTCATAACGAAATATCGAATTATTTGATCGTAATATCGAGATATGTTTCCCTCGAACAAAACATGCTTAGCTTACTGTATCATAAATTTTCTCAATTACTGATCTGTATAATTATATAAATAATTTGGTTTTTCATACCTACATTTTTAGATCCTAAATTTCAGTAAATATTATAAACAATTTTTATTTAGAAATGTTTTACCCATTTATTCATTATTGCTTGGTATGGGGATGTCCCAAATATTAAAGTGAAAAATGTCTTTACTGAATCTAGTGGACTTCACCCAAATAACAGACAAAACAAAATGATATCCTAAATCATTTATAACAAGAGTGCTATTTATCAATTTCTCTATCTCCCCCAATAGATATTGTATTGGACTTAGAAAAGGGAGAATTCCAAAACTTATAATTTATCCAGGAAAAATTCACAGCTACAGGAACACCCAGGAACATGTATTAAAAAAAGGATCTTCACCTTGTCCATCAAATTATGAGATTTTTTTAAAAAATACATAACAAGAAAATTAATAAATTTGTTGAATACCAATAAAAGGTATAAAAAATAGAGCTGTGGAGACCTCTAACAATTTACAATACTTTTATTGATTGATGATAGAAAAATATCAACGCATGATCATTTTAAAAAGTATAAAAAATATTGTTCATTTTTTTAAGGTTTTTGGTGAGGTTTATTTAAAGTTTTATATAAATTAGATTAACTCGGGTTTCAATAAAAACATTGGACATAACTATTAGTATTTGATTTTTTTTACTCGCTAGTGGTTATAAAAAATTCTGCAAAGACCTTAAAATTTGGTTTACAACACTAGTTATTTTTAATTCATTTAGTGTTTAATAAAATCAATTATATCCTATTGACTTTTAAGTATTGATTAAACTGCTACAACTTGCAAAGAAATAAGGCTTTCAATAAATTTTACTTAAGAAAAATATGCTAAATGTAACTTATAACATTCTCTATCCATTTATCAACCCTTTTATATTTTTCATTACTTATATGACAGTCGTCTTTTGGGTATCATGCGAGGCTGGCACCTACATTCGGACTCTTTGCGTGCATCTTGGTCTCTTACTTGGCGTCGGCGGCCAGATGAGCGAATTGAGGCGGGTAAGATCAGGCATAAACCACGAAAACTCTCCCAGTCTCGTTACGGCCCATGACTTACTAGACGCCCAATGGCTTTACGATAATCATCGGGACGAGACTTACCTCAGGAGATGTATCTTGCCACTTGAGAGCTTGCTAACTGGCCATAAACGTATCGTTATGAAAGATAGTGCCGTGAGTTAAACCCCCCCCCCCTTAAATAATCTAGACCTGTCATATTTTTTAATTCGGAATTGGCTCTATTATTAATTTAGTTATTGCGTGATATCATTTAATTGGCCAATCCAATATACCAAAACTTTAATTTTTAGTGATTTTTGGGCATATATTTCCTTTAAGATTTTTTTGTCTTAATGATTATTATTACAAATTTGGATCGACCGATATCAACTTGATATTGGCAAAAAGTTTTGGTACATCCGTAGAAAAAAAGTTAAAAATAGTATAAGAAAAACCATAAAACTATTTTTTGTTTTTACACCTTTATATTATAGGATGGTCATATCAATGACATTATAATACTTACATACACTGATGATTCATTCATTAAAATACATTTGGAGCGTCATTAAATACAAATAAGCTGGTGACACGTCATTTTGGTTCTCTACAATATAAGAATTTGTATAAATAAATGAGATTTTAATTTTTTTAATATAATATAGTTGCATGGAAAATCGAAATGTCTTGTCACCAGCTGATTTGTATTGATAAATATTCATATTAATGAATCGTCAGTTTTACTAGTTATTATATATCATTTGTGACAAATATAATCCTTAAATTAAAATTAAAATAATAATTATAATTATTTTTTAATAGGTAAATGCTATATGTTATGGAGCCAAGATAATGTTACCCGGTGTATTGCGATACGAAGACAATATCGAAATTAATGAAGAAATCGTCTGCATAACTACCAAAGGAGAAGCGATATGTCTGGGTTAATATTTTTTCATACTATTCATTTTTTTGTTAATAGCTCTTTTTTCTTTCAGATTTACACAGATAATCGGTTGTTTATCCAAACTTCTTTCTATAATTCCGCACCTTCATTGGTGAGATCCATTTTCTTCTGTTATTTTTTATGGATGTTTTTGAAATGCCTGATAAAATGAAACGGATAAAATCTGACTCCTGAAATTTATTTTTAAATATTATTAATTGTTGACCATTTATTGGGTATTTGACTGAGTTAAGTAGGATAACTATCTAGATATTGAAACGCAAAAACTAAAAAGTTAGTATTTTTTTCTTAATTGCTCAGAAATTTAAACCGAAGACTAATTTTTACTGAATTTTATAGATATTTATAATGAAGACGATTTTTTCAGTAATGCATTCTGAGTGATTTAATATGGAGCCATTGAAACATATGATTGTTCTTCCTTTTTTTAATATAATATATCAAACTTTAAAATTTTTTATCTAGTAATGAGGTATTGAATTAATTTTATATACGTTAAATAATGTTATATAGCAATCGGCCTAATGACTTCAGCTACTATAGCGTCATGCGACCATGGATGTGTGGCCAAGATAAAGCGGGTTATTATGGAAAGAGATACCTATCCTAGAAAATGGGGATTGGGACCTAAGGTTTAATATCTATTTTTAAAAATCTCATATCTATATATTTTTTCATACAATCTATTCGTTTACTTGTAAAATGGTCATTGCGTATATTTTAATCATCATTTACATTAGTTTTTATAATATATTATGAATATTAATTCTTAAAGGTAGCAAATGCTAAAAAAATAAACCAAAAGATTTAAACTTAATTATAGTATCTTAAATCGGCTCTGTCCTATTCCGTATTTTGGATTAATTTAAAGTTTCAAATCAGAAATCGGGACATAATGACAATTGGCAACAATTAATCAACCAAAATTTTAATAAAATATATGTATAGCTGACTTATATTTGGTTGCACTATCTATTTTGAATAATATCCAATGTTACGATATTTGTCATTCAATTTTTTTAAAATATGATATTACACAGGCTTCCTTGAAAAAACTAATGGTCAAAGAAGGTTTGTTAGATGATCGAGGCAGACCTAATGATGCCACTCCAGAATCATGGTTAGAATTGCTAAAGAAAGAGGCTACCTTCGAAAGCGTTGCAAAACTCAAAAAACAAACACTCGATACAGACACTCTACTAAATAATTATATGTAATACCCTTTGGGAGAAATGGGGGGGGGGGTTATAAAAAAGAAAGTATGGGAAGACATAAGATAAAATGGGGGTGGGGACTAGATTTATAAAATAAATAATAAGCAAATTCGAATTTAATACAACATAACGGGTATTAATCTAGGAACGTTTTCACAATTCTGGGCATCCTTTGGGTAAGACTATATAAATCTCTACGTATTTTTTTATCTCTTTTGGACCTATTCTCGATTTCCTTCATCTGTTAGAAACGATAGGTGATGCAATGAGAAGAAATAGGCTGAAATGGTTTGATTATGATGAGCAGAAATCGAAACATGATTTGATAAAGGAATTTATTGTGTTGAAAATGACTTGAATATTGGCCTAGAGGAACCTAATATAAACTGGATGAAAGTGTTAGAAAAAATTAGTCTCAGCACCAATGGCAATGCTTAGGATTGTACGAAGAAATATTTAAATGGGGATTAGAGAGACAACTAACGTGCCTGAATATAGAAAAGGTTGCTGAAAAAGAAAATTAGTATTAATAAAAGCTTCTTTTTCCCGCTAAGTTGGGACATTTCAATTTTAAATCCTATTATTTTACACTATGTTCACATTTTATAATAATAAGTCATTGATATTAATTTTTTTTAAAAAAATTACACCAATGAAAATATGATTTAATAAGTAAATATGCCATCAATTAACATTTTCATTTTTAAAAAAAATAAGAAAACAAGAAATCGAATCCAACAATAACAATCAATCCATTTCATCCAAAGTACTACTTATTCAAATATGTTAACGGATTATTCTAAATAGATTTTTCTTTGAAATCCTTCGTTACAAACCAAGTCATTAGATTCATAAGGATTCTGTACTTAAAATAAACCGATTTATTTAAACTCTACATCTCTAACATTTCAGAAGGGAATAGGATAATTTATGAATTATTTGTAAATAATATTTCAATTTTCAATATTAAGACATCTAAAGAATTAATTTAAAATAATGTAAATCAGTGTCATACCAGTTCAAGTACTACTAATATCGAACTACTTGAAAGCCTGGGCGATGAGCATTTAACCTCGGTTACAAAGAAGAAGAAGAAGAAAAATGTTAAAAAGGAAAAAACATCCGAACAATGCAATGGCGCCACCACTGACGATGATCGCACTACCAATACTATATCAGAATACGAAGAAAGCGTTACTGTTAAAGTAATCATTTTCATATAGTTTTTTTATTATTCCTATTTATAAAAAAAATTCTAACTATTTTTGTAAGCAAGAAAGTTTGGGATAAATCATTTTTATCTTATTTTTAAATTTTTAAAAATATTTAGACAAAAACGTTATTTAATAATAAGGTTGGCCTATTTAAATTGCTCCGTTTAAAAATCAATTATTTTAATCAAAATTTAAAATAGTGACAGATAAAGACTTAGATAAGCAAAATCTAAATTAATAACCAAATAGTGTTAGACATAAAATTTTATTTTTTATTTCAATTTACATAATAGAAAAATAACTGATGATCCTAATCGCAATAGTGAAAAATTACTTAATATTAACAAATAACGAAGCTAATAAAAATCTAGACATATTTTTAAAAAAATTTTATTTTGTTATAATAAAAAAAATGATCAATTAGTTTGTAAAATTAAGAAATAACATACATTATATAGCACAAGTAATATCTATATCGCCGACATTGGTATGGATTTAATTGCTTAAATAAAAAAAACTAATTTTTCTGTTTCTAACCGATTCCTAAACTCCGAGTGAACAACTCCAAACGATGAGAATACTTTCTCTACTGAAGCGGATGATGAAGAAGCAGTAAATAGTTGTTTTATTATTTTTTGAATATTTACTATATTATCCGAAAACATATTAGTTAATAGCTCTGATCTTGCTTGAAACTTTATAAAATGCCAGTGTTTGGATACAGAAGCCTCCCGCATTACATTGCCTTTTCCATTTCATTGGTTGAATTTAAATGACATTTCCTATTTAAAAGATAGGATAAGAAGTGTGCAGGAGTTAAAGCTTGATTGTATCGTTTAGCAAGGGACGAAAGTTGATTACTACTTATTTTTTAATGGCATGTAATGGTAACTTTTGCTAATTCTTTCAACAATATACTGTGTTTAAAATATTTGATTTATTTCTCTCTAAGAATTTTAAACATTTCGCAATTGGTTTTAGGATTTTTCATATCTTCAGCAACTCTTTGAGTGTAATATTTTCAATCTTTTTTCTAATTTCAATGTCGATTTTATTTTGATTGCTTTCACATATTTTAAATAATTTTGCCCACATCTAAACTACAATTGAGTTCCCAACGAATAACTTGTGGAGTGGCAAAATATCGCCCTTCTTCTTGTTTCAGTTTGAAACTGGCAAACGGTTATTTTGGAATTACATTACCACACAACTATTTGTTCCCGGATACTTTTATTTTCCAAATCTTTTGATAGCAGATTTAAAAAATGAGCACTACATCTATAAGGTTATTATATAATTTTCATCATTTATTTTCAAATCATTACTCACATATATCATATTAGCCGCATTATTCTGCTCTTTATTTAAAAAAATTATCAAATTACAACATATCATTATTTAATTTTCAACAATTTCCTAACATGTTCCCTTGAGCAATAGCCTTTTACTTGCAAGATAATATTAAACAGAAATTTAAAAAACAATATTTTTGAATCTAGCTCATAATTCTTTACTTATTTGAATTATTTTTACGAGATTTAAATCAAAAATAGAGATATGATTTTTTTTAAAAAAGTCACGATTTTTGCCAACCTTATTTATTTGACAATAATTAATTTTAAAATGTTACTCTCAATATATATTTGGGGTAGTTTCATACTATCTAATTTGAATGATAAAACACCTATGTCTTATTTTAAATCATCATCTCATCTAACTTTAAATAAATATAAAAATTTAACAGGAGGAATATATATCTGCGGGGGAGGAGCTATCAGAAAGCACGAAAAAAAAGAAGAAGAAAATGAAATTACAGTAATCGAATCGCAAATAATTATTTTGAAACGTATACTATTATTATTAAAGTGCATAATAATCTGAAAATTGTATAGTATTTTTTTGTTTAAAATAATATCCGTTTTTTGGAATACATCGATTATACTCTAATATTTCATGATATATATTGCAAATGGCTCAAAAATTATATTCAAAATTCCAGGCTTCACAAATTTAATTATGTAATCATATTATTTTTAAATTGATACAAAAATCATTAGTCAATATTTTTTTCTTCAAATCATGAATATTATAAATATGAAAATATATTATTTTCGAAATATTTTGTACATATCTCTCTCCCACAATATAGAATTACTGAAATAAAATTGATATCTTTAGATGTGAATTTAATATAGGTTCAACAAAATGGTCAATATGATATAATCAAAATAAATTGTTAGAAACTTTTTTTTAAAACAAAGTGACCCATTGACCATGCTAACAAAGAACTCATCTTTGATAAAGAAAGCCATGTTACTAAATATCCTATTTTGCTTTATTTATTATATAAATTATAATCTTGTCCTATGTAAAGAAGGCCAAAGACCAGACCAAAACCAAAGGACTGAAGACCGGACCAAATAAATTTTTTTAAAAATCTTGCAATCTCGGTATTTTCCGTCCAGACTGTTAGTGTTGTTAGATTGCTTAATTTTAAAAACAGCCAACCCAATATTACGCAAACCTGGAGATCTTGCTCATAGCTGGCAGCAAGGTTTGGATCAATCTATTAATGAAATATCGAGGCTTGAGTAAAATTATTTTCGCTAAAATCTTATTTTAAAATCGGTTAAATCGAGCTGTTTAACAACACAAAACTTCACTAGTCCGGTTTGACATAATATCTCGGGATTGGTTGCTATTTTATAATACATAAAAAGAAAATCAAATATTTTCAGTTTAAGAAGAGACAATTTTTAAAAAAAGTAATAAAGAAAATTATTTATATGCTAATATCGAAATACTCGTCCTTTATGCATAAAAATATGATTGAGCAAAATATGCACAATAAAAATAAAATACATTATCCGGTCCTATTTGGCCAACCAGGACGACTTATTTGGTTGAGTTAGTTTTGGTTCATTTTACCAAAATCATGCTAATTTGACCCAACCAAACAATTTAACCACACTGTTCAGATTAGTTTTTAGTCATTTAATAGGAGACAATTTAATATTAATGAAGTGAATATTATTAATAAAATTTATATGTTTTTTAATCTATGAAATCATTGTCATGAAAAAAAATTATATTATTTAACTTTTTTATTTGTTCCTCAATCCATATAACTACAATTATTGGTGTAGGTATTCGATTTATATCAAAGTCTATTAATTATGAATATAATAAAAAATTTAAAATAAATATTGAACAAATATATACAATTACTTCTAACAATGGTGCAATTTTATCAAAACTCTTTCACCCTGAAATTGTTTATGACATAGGGTATTAATCAGCGAATGACGAAAATATGCATGTGAATGTAAACAAATATGTTATACAGATTACTTTTTCATCAATGAGTTTATCCAAAATTATGCCTAGTTTTTTTAAAAATTATGAATACCATTAGCTAAAAAATTGAATTTCTAATAATCATAAACGAGATTTAAATATATAAAAAAAAATTCCGAGCTGAACCCGAAAGATTTGATTATCTTGTCCACGATTTTTTGAATACACTTATTCTAGAACCCGGGGTTTAAAAAATTTACAAGGACTGTTATTTAATTAAATATTTGGTATACATTATCTTGTATATTTTTTTTATTTGCTAGGTTTAAACGGGTAAACATCATGTATAGGACATATATATTAGTGAAAATACATAATGTACGCTTCAATTCCTGATAGGTGATGAAATTGCACTTCGTTCATTTTCTAGCTTGATAATGAATGAATAAATAGGTTAATTTATTTAAATTATTTTTCGTCTTATGCTATTTGTTATTTAGTTCAACTTAAATTTTATATTTCAAAATAATTGCCATGTTGTTTTTAAAGTGATACAAATCTCTTAACAATCTATTTATTTATTTTTTCAAATCGTGTATCATATGAATTTATGCTGTTAACATTGCTTCAAAAAAGGAACGCGTTAATATTTTTGTTACCTTGCCAACAAATAAAAAATGATGCAAAATATATAAATTTTAATTTTTAATATTTTAAAAATAGACATAAATTCTTAAAAATTATAATATTAGAAATTATAAATTCTATCTTGATTGATTAATATTAATAAAATTGATAATCTTGACTACAAAATTTGACAAAAAAAATAAATAAAAATGAACTTTGGGTAAACTAGACGGTGCTAAAGATAGCGTCTAACAAATCCATTTAACATTTTTTTTGCTTGGATCGCCACTACCATTTATGGTATCGTAGTTTTGATAAGCTTCTGCACTCTCGGTGAATGCATATATCACTTACCGCATAGAACTGAGTTCAAAAAGGATTGAGCTTTTTCTAAGTTAACTTAGTGGTTATAGGCTATGGGGTATAATATATAGCAGAGACCTGCAAGCCCGGCCCTAAGCCCGACCTTGGTACACGGGCCAGGCCGTATTTTAATTTTTTTAAATAGACCCCGGCCGGTCCTGAAAATTTTTTCAAAAAAATATCCGGGTCAGGCTGGGTCGAAAATAATTTTTGAAAAAAAAATCGGCAAAAAATTTTTTTTAAAAAAAATCCGGGCCGGGCCAAACAAATGATACCTCTTCAGGTCTCTGATATATAGTATGTCAGAAATGACCACATCCATCTGTTAATATATATTTAAAATGGTTCTTATTGCATTTTAAATAAATTTTGACTTTGTTTAGCTAATTGCTATATGTTAACTTGGCACTGTACATTAACTAAATTTTGGGTGGTTGATCTGAATTAAAAACTCAAGTAAATTATCCATAAACTCAAAAAAATAATATATTTTTCCATATTCTTAATTCTTTTTAAAAGTAGTGAGTAAAAAATTTCGCCTATCATACTCAAAAAAGGAACGACGTTACTTTACAGTACTATATGAAATAAAATACAATCGCTTACAAAATATTTTGTACATCTCTCCCATATAAAGCTACTGAAATAAAAAAGACACTTTAATTTTATCAATATTTAAATATATCTTTTTAATTACAGAAAAAAATTAAAATAAGACACATTTATTATTATAGAAAATTTTGCTGGAAATCTCAATTTAATAACCGTTTTTTATAAATAGGTATGTTTGGTCTTTACAATCTAAACCTGATCACAGATCTTAACCATACCCGACCGATAACATCTACGGCTTGGTTTGCCTATACTCGGACATTAGCAAAAAATTTTAATAACTTTCTTTTACAATATTGAAATATATTAATTTTTCATAACTTATAATATTATTTTAAATATTTCGAATCAAACTATAAGTAAGTTCAAAAAAATTTGGATGAATCCGTAAAACAAGAAATTAAATTAATTCTGTCAGACAGGGTTGCTGACCAAACCAGGGTTTTAAAGTTTTCTGAACTTAAATCTTAACGCAGGAGAGCCAAATCCAATTTTATTTTTGAATCGAAATTCAAAACATATTCAATGCATTCTATTAATAATCATATATATTCAGATGCTTGGAAAAATAGCAGATTATTTGAGTGAGATTTTAGGATTTATAATTTTTTTTTCGATTTTCAGCTATCTTGTATAGATATTTAGCTAAATATTTGTACATATATTTAATTAACATTTAATTTGTATTACATAAAAGATCAATGTCTACGATAGCTCCATTATTTAATGAAATATTTTTTAATTTTCTATGTTATTTTACAAAAATCGGATTGACACAGGTGAATATGTATATTATATTATATATTTTTTTTTGGCTAAGTTTAATAACTCGTTATTTAATTTATGTAAGTAATTTCTAAAAATAAATTCAATTTTTAGTTTTAGGCTATTTAATTCAACTTAAAATTTTTATACTAAATATAACCCAACCTTTCAAAGGTTATTTATTCCGAAACTTTTCGATTTTTTTAAAATATAAATATGAAAAACGATTAGCCTATAAAATGAATTACAAATCGGTTATGACTCTTACCTTAGTAAGTTTTACATTACGACTATACAAATATTAAAATATATACAGTAGAGGTCTGCAAATGGCAAAATTTGTAGATCTGGCCCGGTTGTTTGTTTTTATCCAACCCGTTCCGGAAAAATTTATGCCCAACCCAACCGTATTTCAATTTTTTTTATTAAGATTGCCCAGCACGGATCAGTTTTTAAAATTTTTTAAATAAAAGGCCTAAACCAATATATATGTTTTTGAACACAACTATTTATATTATTGGAAAGTGGTTAAATTAAGCTATACTATTGAGTTAAAACTTCTAAGAAATATCAGAATCCATCAAATATATATATAAAAAAAATTTTTTTGCCCGGCCCAGAATAAAAAAATTTTAAACGTTACCCGTACCAGGCTTTGCAGATCTCTAATATAAAATAAGAAAAAAAAACCATTGGAGCATATCTCCGCGTAAATTTATAAGATTTTATTATTATGCTAAGGTCTTGAATTTTTATTTTTTTTCTTAAAACCTTATTTATTATCATATAGCAGAGAAGTGTTTAACTACTCGCTCTTGTAAAGGCAGAGATGGGAGTTTCTAATTCCCCATACACCTTTTTATATTTTAAAATTATTTTGTTTGCAAATAATATTTGATAAATATTCTTAAGATAATTTAGCCTTTTCTCCTAAAAATTTAAAAAAAAAAAATTGAATTTTAAATATTATACCTGTTGATATACTTTTAATTTTAATCTGGGTAAAAAAAAATTGACAATTTTTTAAGGACAATATAACCCCCTTCTTCCCCACATATTAAAAATGTATATCTCATTTTAATAATATTTGGGGTTGTTTAGCTTAATTGCATAGGTTGCACCGACGCACCTATTTTAGAAGGTTGATTTTAGTAGAAAAAAACTGTCCCCAGCTAGAGTAGAATCAATGTAATGCTGGGTCACAGTCAAGTCATATATACTCTAAGGTAGAGTTCAAATTCAAAATTTTATTAATTTATAAGCCCAGTTAAGCCCGGCCAGCATTTTATTATTATTATTTTAAGGCTCGAAATTTTTAATTAAAAAAATATATATTAGACCTTTTTTTTATTAACTATTTTTAGTATGAAAATTTAAGGACGATATCATGTAAAAGTAAGGCATACTTAAATCCAAGCCAAAAATAATATTTG